CAAATACGATCCGACTAGCCAATTCAATACAGAGCTCCAAGTAATTTTGAATGGAGCTAAAGAGAGAAACATCATCTCACAGAGAAATTATGAATTTTTATATCAGAAAAACCCAACCATCCCTATTTTTTATTTTCTTCCAAAAACACATAAGCGTCTCCCTAACCCCCCTGGGCGACCCATAATCAGCGGCATCAATTCACTAACGGCTAATTTGTCGGCTTATGTCGATTCTCGGTTACAAAAATATGCCCGAGGGGCCCCTTCATATGTGAAGGATACGAAGTCTTTCCTCCAAGAAATGGAGAACATCGAATGGGACCAAGAGTACAGTTGGGCCACACTTGATGTGACCTCTCTGTACACAGTGATTAGCCATAGACTGGGTTTGGAGGCGGTTGATTATTTCATGGAGCAGGATGTGGAGTTACCAGAGGATATGAGGGACTTCATTTTTTCTTCTGTTCAATTTATTTTACATCACAATTATTTTTTCTTTAATGGTGATTACTTTTTACAAGTCACGGGGACCGCCATGGGGACCAAGTTCGCCCCCAGTTATGCCAATACATACATGAGAAGATGGGAAGAGTTATTTGTGTGGTCTGGACATGGCTGGAGGGCGAACTTGGTCCTGTGGCGGCGTTATATCGATGATGTTATTATTATTTGGAAGGGATCTTCTGTTTCGTTTCAGGATTATGTTAATTTTTTGAATGACAATGAGTACAACCTTGTCTTTACTCCTATCTGGAATAAGGATGAGATTAATTTCCTTGATCTTTGTCTATCTCATGATTCGAGTCATATAAAAAGTAAATGTTTCTTTAAACCTACTGATGGTAATGGGTTTGTTCATCGTAGGAGTGGTCACTATGAACCCTGGCTTAGGGGGATAGCCAAAAGCCAGTTTACCCGCCTTAGACGAAATTGTTCTGATAAACAGGATTTTTTCGCCCAATCATTACATGTTAAAAGGAAGCTTACAGATAGAGGATATAATGGAAAGAGATTGGAGAGAGAAATCCGTCGTATTGGCGATATAGAAAGGAAAACTTTTTTGGAGAATAAATCATATACTTCGGGAACTGCGGATAGTTTCCGTTCTGCATTTACCACCCATTATAATATTGATTATAATAAAATTAAGAGAAGTCTTCAAAGTTCTTGGCCAATTCTGCTACAAGACCCCATTTTGGGGACACATTTACCAGACAATCCCTTGGTAATCTACAAAAGGAATAAAAATTTGAAGGATATGTTGGCACCTAGTTATGCCATTAAACCACCATCAGGTCCCACTTCTGCTAGCTCAGGTTCATTTCGAGGCTGTGGCACTTGTAAAGCTTGTACCACGGTGTCCATAAAAAATACACATTCATTTTTTAGCTCCACCACGGGGGAGAGCTTTACACTTAGAGATAGTATAAATTGCCACACGGACTTTGTGGTATATCTGCTACAATGTCCGTGTGGCATGCAATACGTGGGACGGACTAAGAGGATTTTGAAGGTTCGCCTATTAGAACATCTTAATAATATCAGAAAGAGACTGACGACACACTCAGTCCCAACCCATTGTATATCATGTCCCCTTTTTTCATTTAAGGATTTTAGATGTTGGGGAATCGAACGAGTCCACCCCTTCTGGCGTGGGGGTAATAGAGTTCAAAGACTAGCCCAGAGGGAGACGTTCTGGATACATAAATTACAAACCCTCTCACCTAAGGGTCTCAATATCGATATTGATTTAATTTGTTTTCTAGATTAATATGGCCTAAAATTTTCAGAACAAAGAGTTAGGATATGTGTGTTTGCCTTTAATTTGGGTTGTTTCTACAGTTGAAAGCTAATCCCTACTTAGAGAGAGGATTTATATATATATCAAATACCAGGTAGTTATTTTATATATCTCTTATATTTTATTTTATCTCTTTTTTTACAATTTGTGATCTATTGTCCTATATGACCAAAAATCACAAAAGATTATAATAAAAACACAATAACCGATTATTCTAATATAAATAATGGATTTGCTCTAAGGTTTTTTAGAGCTGGTATAAATTGAATGTGGTAGATTCACTAAATAAAGTTTATATGGGAAGTAGTTATTTTGTAGCCACAATCTACTAACCCCTTTTTTGTGTAACCATAGCAATGGATTATTTCAATGTGTATAATAGGTTTATCCCAAAGATTTTTATGGGGAGTACAAATATATAACACGACAAATTGAAGTTTAAACTGATACAGTGATGAATCGATTACGGTGTTCACTTTGATTAACAATGTATAAAGTTATAAAAAAATAAAAAAAAAATAAAATAAAAACCTTTTAAATAATAGACATAGGAAATATGATCACTTTGTAATACGAAGCCTTAGGCTTATAATATACTGAGGTATTATGATTACTTGGTATAATATGAGGATTAACATTATGTTGTGTGATGGGATTAATGAGGAGGGTAATACTCAACAGATATATATACATAAATAACGGCTAAATATGTTAAAAATGGTTAACAGTTTTTTTTCTCAAGCAGAATGGGGCTTTTTATTTGTCCTGTGTTCCATTTGACCTTTTGAATGACTTGATCGCGCCCGGTTGCCATGGAGACGTCACTGGTGGAACGCATGTGGAACGCGGACGTTCCCGCGATGTCACTTCCGGTTTCGGCAAATTATGACCACTTCCGGTATTTGCCGAAAAAGGCGCAAATTACAAATTATGGAAAATGAATGGATGACAAACAGCTGCCACAGGAAGATCAGTCCTCCAATTAGAACCAAGGAGGATTTACACGCCTACTGGATCCACCAATAGACTTTAGGGATTAGCCCTATTTAAGGACACAGGGAGGGGGGATGTGTATAGGATATGTTTATGTATTGTACATTGATACATTGTTATTATTGTTTTTAATTGTGGTCCCTGAGGAAGTTCTTATAGAACGAAACGCGTAGGACAACCTTCTGTTATTTGTATCCTATGCTGAATTGGTGACTACACTTTTTATTTAAATAAATTTTTTATTACTGAACCCTGACCTGTGGATGTCTTTTGGTGATACAAGGATCCAGAGGTGATAAGGAATACCAGCTAGCCCCCCATTCCATTGGGGAAGGCACCTTAAGAGCGCTTTTACTGCCTACATCCTGTGAGTGCATAAGATTACTGCGCATGAAATATTGTGTTTTATAACAATATCACACTATGTTTTGTTTTATGCTTTCTCTGTAGATTTACACAGCCATATCCCGAATCTTCTCTGTTTTGGTTTATACTATATATGATATAGGTCGCTTGTTTGGGTAACGACCTAGGGAGGCTGTCATACATCTCTATAAGCTAAGTACTATTGCTTTCTATATTATTTATCGATTGTATATTGTTTGGGATATACTTATAAGCTATAATTCAGCAGCATATATGAAACAGGTACAGTAACTAGTCAGGAAACTAGACAGACCAATAAGGCTGGCGATGTCAGTTACTTTAACAGGTAGCATTAAAAAATAAAATAAAAAAAAACAACACTTAACTTACCCATTAGTCTGTTTTGGCACATCAGAATTAACTTTATTTTACTCTTAGGTTTCAAAACTCATATGGCTTTGAT